AACCATTACCCTGTTGTTGCTGTCATTGTCCAGTTAAGCGTGTTTGTGTGACTGATACATTGAAATATGAGAGAGATGAGGTGGCAAGGCTGAAAAACAGCAAGTTTTAGACGAGCCAGTCAGAGACAGACGAAACAAGGCTGTTGCCACTGAGCCGAAGCTGAAAGGAAAATGACTGAGTGTGGGAGAGCTGAAGCAAAAGGCACAATGACTCACATCAGCAGCAGGGATCCTCAGACATGAACTGGACACATCTGAGCTGAGCTCTGCCCTCAAAATCAGCACAGCGCTCGTCTGAAAGCCGGCAGAGGCTACAGGGTCAGCGTGTCCATTTACACAGGTGGATTGGTCTGCTTCTAATTTTAGCCCAGCCTTTCAAGTTCAAAATATATGTGAGACGTTTTATTGTCGGTTAGTTTTGCAGCCAGAGCTGAGGGGAAATTAAATGTCAAGACACCTGTCAACAGACACACCCTTTCAAGCACTGGGTGCAAAAACTTTAAAAAACAGCAGCGTAAATCCATGACATCTGATTAACTTATAAACATGAAATGCAATTAATCATAAATGGCACCATTGATGAGGTTGCTTTATAAATGAGACCCTCACTGCAGTGTGCGTACAGACAATACATACTGCTGCAAGAGGTGTCCACCTTATCTGCACCATGCATTAAAGTTAAAACACTTGCTCTTTTATGTCAAATCATATTCAATTGATCTCCTTTAAATAATGCACACGTTGTATAGAGCCTACTGGCACAACAAGCTGCCTCCACTTCGTCTAATTGTGCAGGTCTGGAATTGTATTTTAGGAATGCATTGAATATCCATTAACAGGTATACTGCTAATTAGGATGATGTGTCTTTTATCTTGTGGAGTTTAATATAGTGCAGCAAGAAACACGCAGCAGCAGCAGCAGCAGTCATAACAAGTAAAGAATAGATGAATAAGATGCTATAAATGTTCACTGGAGGGTGAGCACTAATGCAGCGAGCGCGACAGGAAAATAAAATGTCAATTAAGTGATGAAATGAATAATTAATTTGACAGCTTTACCTTGAGGTGACACTCGCTCCTTCATCGTCACAGAGCCCCGTTCAGGTGGACCCTACAAATTCAGCCGCTCTCACTCAGTCCAAGTTTAGAGGTTTGAGGATGATTTCGAGAGGGTTTCTTGAGTGATGATTCCGGCTGTTTGGCTATAAATACCGCGGCGGGGCTGGCAGCCAGAGGAACGTGGCTCACATGAACGTAAACAGGCATGGGGACAGGCAAGAAGCGCGGACATAATCCCAGTCCTCCTCACTAGAGCTCCGGTGAGTCACTTAATGTGGGTCATTGTAAATGTCTCAATCATCAAACTTCATTTAAAGAGGTCATTCAAATGTGAACACACTATTCCTCTAAGTTATCCACCTGTATGGAGATCATATTATTTGTTTTGTATTATTTAAATGAAAAGAGGTAGGCGCAACAGGTCTGCTCATTATAATTGCTGGTCTGGTGTGCGCGCGATTTGCCTCGAGACATAGATATATTTACCACTAGATGGTGGACTAAAGCTGCATACCTGACACACAGCAGGTGCATTGAATGAGAATTTTACATTAAAGATATTAACTACAGAGTTATAACTTCATTGCATCCGAAAATGCCTTTTTGCAGGTAAGTAAATTGTTTTTGCGTATACAGTAAGAGTCGGCTAAGGCTGTTTGGTGACCGTGACTGAGTACCTCCATGATATACATTTTCAACACAATAAAATACATTTAAACCAGAAGAAGGCTATCAATTCAATAAAGTTACCTGGATTTCACTCTTGTTTAGTAGTTTCCTTCATAATTAAAGTAAACATTTTGTAATGTAAATGAACAAATTGAAGATGAGGTTGAAAGTAAGTGGAAGTTTCAATCTTTTTTTGTTAAACATATGTTAATATACTTCAACCAAACCAATACATATTTGACAAAAACAAACATGCATTCAGGTAACACTAATGATGTAAAAGGTGTAATGTGTAACGTCCATTTTACAACAAAAGTGTTAGAAATAATCAAATCATTATGCTTGACTATAATGTATAGGCTACGACAAGTAGCAAAGTTTTAACAGATCCCCTCTTCCCAAGAAAACAGTCTTAAATTGTATATCCGCTTATGTCTGAGTTTACTGTCTTGTATCTTTTTAAAGTTAGTCCTAGAGAAGTGATTTCACAAACCCTCTTCCGAAGTGGAAGACTCTTTTGCATTTCCCTAAACTGATGGTTTAGGCACGTCACAAAGCAGAAACAGCCAATCACATGTCAACAGGAAACAGAGCGCACCTGTCATTAGTTAGAGTTAGAATTAGCATAGTCAAAGTTTTTACAGTAGAAATTATACAGTTTTTAAAATGTAAACATAACCGCCCCCTAGAGCTTCTTTACTTATCTACCAACCAAATTCCACCAAAAAATAATGCATTTTTCCACAACCATTTAGCGTAATGTGCCAGCAACAAGCTAGCAATCAACATAAACAAATTAAAGATGCTAACTACACTTACCATTCTGGTATCCTCTAGTCGCTGATTGTGGGAAACAGTCTCTTCCTCAGAGTCAAACTAATATGCTTTAATCCTTCAGGTGTTTCCTCTTATATCAAAAATAAAGCAGACACTGATGTTCATTGTTTTTTTAATCTGGAGCTCGCGCCGGCATGACGCGCACTCTCAATACTAGCGCGAGCAGCGGTGGGCGGGGCGAACCCAGATCCTGAATATATGAATAGGTGCTACCAACCTCAGTTATATTCAGTCTATGTTATTAAATCAGACTAATTTTTAGTCCATCGGTTAAAAAAAACATTTAGGAACCCCAAATAAACCAAATATAAATCATAGCAATCAAGTGTGTCTCAGAGCTAAGAAAAAGTAAACTGAGGTATAAAAGATATAAAATCTGCAGAACTGTCACCCAGATGGATGTTGCACTATTATATAATTGAACACGCATAAAATGTGTGAACATATATAGTACAGTTAGATTAAACACAATGTTTCATTATGTGTGCTTTTGAACTTTATCAATGGCTAACTTCCCTGACTGTTGGGAAAGTAATGTAAACAGATCCAACATCAACAAACATGCATACAATATATATATATGCAATTTAAAAAGGCTCAAGAAAGGTAAGGGTTTCAGTAGAAAACACGTTTTATGCTCTTCTCAGACACAAAAGGTGTATCTGTGCTATATTATGCAACTAGGACAGAGAATATTTTTTCTTTGATTAAAACAGTGTAATAATGGTTCTTAATTAAAAGGTCAGTTGTGTTCATTTCAACCAATTCTGTTATTCCCTAAACTGAGGAAGAGGTGTTAGCTTTGGGAATGAGAGCGCTGGAGAAACCATCTGCTACCCCACCACTGAAGGGTAAATGAAGACTTCAAGTGCTAACTGTTTCTCTATTCATTTTTTGCCCTGGGACAGCTTTCCAAATCATTGTCTTAATCAAGGTTATAATGTTCTTTAAATATCCAGAGTCCCCAATTTAATCTATTAAAATATCTCTATAAACGGTATCTCAGAAGTTGTTGTCAGATATGTCTCTGAGGGTTTCGTGATACAAAAAACACTGACTATTTTCCAATGTACCGATGCAATATTGTGTGAATTATACATGGATTTATGTAATCTAGTTGAATCATCTCTGTGAGGAAATAATTGCCATCTTATCCCCGAGGCACGCGGCCAAGTGGATGCATGACGTGGAGACGCCAAGCAGAGAAATGGCTGCCATTGAAAGAACGGGGGAAAAAAAGATGTTAGAAATAAACCATCAGGTGTGTGTGCGTGTGTGTGTGTGTGTGTGTGTGCGAGTGTGTGGGAGGGCCATCATGCTGTTCGATGGTGAGACAGTTGGTAGTAAATGGTTGGCAAATCAAATCTGGTCTGGCTTGAGAGGCCGGCCTGAGGGTAAACATCAGGTTCCCCTTATTTTGTTTGCTGGTTCACATTTGAAAGATTGCTGTAGGGTGTGATGTTGTGTTTTCTTTTAATCCTAAACTCACATTATTAATTATCTAACCTTTTGTAAATTGAGAGTATGGAGATGAGTCTTTATTAGGTATTAGGAAATGCAAAGATGAACTGCTGGCTAAATAAATCTCTCTGACGTGAATTAATCTGCAGGCCTGCACTGTTAAAAGTGAGCTTTAGAAAAAAATGAAAGAATCCTATTCAATTAATTTAAACATCCTTATGAGTTGCGATTACCTGGCATTTGCTTTTGTTTTAGCTTCATTCTGTCAAAGTGTGAAGTTTAGTTATTTCACAGATGTTGAAGTTTCTTCTGTGTTCAGGCTTTTGGTTCATAACTCCCTTAAATTGAAGCAATTCTCACTTGAGTGGTGAACAGTTCAACCAAAGAATGCTTTTTTTTTGTCTTTCAGTTTTTTAATATCATATTTTTATGTTAGAAAACCATTCCAAGAAAAATACAAAAATGTATGGTAGAAATGAAATTTAGGAGAAATCCTAAAGTCTGTTATAGCAAAGTGTATTAACCATAACGCAGCGTCCACACAGCAGCGTGCGTTGAAGCTTGCCGGCGGGCGTGTCTGAAGCTCGACCAACAACCAATCACATGAATCTCCCGCCCCGGACACACAAGCACGCGGTTTGATTGGCTAGAGCTTGTGCCTAGCTTTGCCTCCGTTGCTCGCTTCAAAAGTTGAGAAAAGTTAAACTTTTCAAGCTTCGGTGGAAGCGTCATCAAATCAAATCATATGCCAGTACAAGCTCAAGCCAATCAAACCGTGTGCTTGTGTGTCCGGGGCGGGAGATTCATGTGATTGGTAGTTGGTCGAGCTTCAGACACGCCCGCCGGCAAGCTTCAACGCACGCTGCCAGGAAAACTTCCATTTGAAAGATGCCAAATGATCTCAAGAAAACCTGGTCAAAACATCACAGAACTGCAAAATGTATTTTAATCATCAAGAGTCATTTTATTTTTCATATTCTAAAATGCAAAGGACATAACAGGATTTGAGAATAAATCCAATGTTGAGTGCACAAAAATGTTTCACTGCAAGCGATTATGTACAAGAATGAAATCAACAAATCTTTACAGAAGTCAACAGGTACTGACAACTTTTTGAACCTAATAACGTAGATTAGACTGGACTTAGATTCATTTTATCACTTTTTTTTCAAACACAGCACATTAATAGATTTACATTTAAGTGAACTTTGCTTGCTGAATCAAAAGTTCACCATTAGTGCATTAAGGACCATTTTATGCTTGTTTGTTTTTCATACATTAAAGATTAGAATACCATCAAGGTAAATGCTATATGGCCTCATAAACAGGCCTGTTAGCAATAACTTGGAAAGATGAACAATCTCATCTGTTTACCCAAACATACCAACCATTAATACATTGGTTAGCAATTTAAAATTTGATTGTACCGCCATTTTATATTTAACATGGACATTAGTGCGTCATATGAATATTAGGAGTCAATGGTAACCCTTGAATTGTTTTGCTTGAAGCATGAGAAATATATGCCACAAACATTTGGCAAGATGTTTTTTCTGTCAAGATATACAGAAACACAACTTCAGTTTTGGTGTAAATTATCAACATAATTAGTCATAAATTAGGGCTGGGTGAAAGGACACATCCTCATAAAGATCGTTGTGTAAATGTGTTTTTTTACATTGTCCTGTTTGGTAATGGATCAGGTAGAGTTACTTTGTTTTTCTATGCATACCATGTCAGTTAAATAATGACTGCAGAAAGGTTTCTGGACATTTCCCCATTCAAGATAAAGACAACAAAACATTTTCATAACGATAAGTGCACAATACAGCCAGAGAAAAGTGATGTTTAACATGAGTGAAGAGGAATATTTATACACTTTGATCTTCATGGTTTTGGAAACTCACCCAGCCCTAGTTTAACTTAACCCCATGGGGATTTGAGACTGTTCAACCTTTCTCCCCAGTCCATGAAACAACACTGCATTTTGATGGACATATGCCTCTACTGAATACAAGATACAATGGATTTGAAAGCTATAATTCAGTTTAACACTATGCGTGCTATAGAAGAGAAGCCAAAAACACTTACTATCAGTTTAACTCAAATCAAGTATGAAACGGACCATTTCTCAGAACACAGATGAGTTTAAATACATGAGTTACACAATTATTTTCTTTTTTTTCTCAAACCTTCAGTAGGTAATAACGAAAGTGCTCTGGTCAAACCTGTAAAAAAATAATTTATACACACCCCCATCGTCTGACCGGACGTTTTGTCACAAAATTGTTGACGACTGTTGTTCTTATTGATGGTCCTTCACCCATTCACGCTCGTCACCCCCGCCCCCCCGCGGTTTGATTAATTGTCATTTGTTGAAGGGAAGGCAGGCGGGCAGAATGATGGTGGAGCAGGCGGGGCCCGCTAGGGGCTCGGCCACCTCTCCCTCCAACTCTGTCCACGTTGCTTTCTCTGGGCTGTAGCAGATGGTGGAAGACTTATACGCCCCCTGAGAAATAAAGACACAAATTAATATATTATATAAAATAATTTTATATATTTTTAGAAATGCATGTTGTCCAATAAAACGGGGACAACTTTAAAGAAGAAGTCTGGAGATTTTCTATTGTTTTTAGAGCAATGCCTGTGGAGCCAAAGCTACAAGGCTCTTATGTCCACTCTTGTGAGATGTTGCTTTATTAACATACAGTAAACAAACACATTGTATTTTAATCTGTATCAGTTTCACACAAACAATCCCTATCCTGGTAATATTAGGGCACCAGATGCAACATTTGATTTAATCCGCAGCTGAAAATAGTCCCCAACAAATCAACTTTTTTTCCTGTTTGAGTAAAACTAAAGTATTTATTCCTGACCTGTGCCACAGATATGGTCTCAAAGTTTTGTGACAATTTGATAGAACCTAAATTGTAGACTTTTGCCAGCGTTATCCTTTAAACTCAAATAATGTAATCTGATGTGTAATAAAGTACCATGCTCCAGCTGTAGCCCCCCATGAGGAAGATGCTCTCATCCAGAACAGCACAGCCCGGGCCGCTGCGACCCTCCAGGATGGGCGTCTGCAGGATGTTCCACTGGTCGGCTTTCGGGTCGTAACACTCCACCAACATTACATCTAGATGGGAAAAACCTGTTTGAGAGGGAAAGGAAAATATCTTAAAATTATGAGAGCACTTAAGCGTATTACATGCAGGCAATATTGTAGTTCCAGGTTACTGTAATTAAACTGCTTGTTTGACTTTAAAGGCCATGAAAACACATATTTGCAATCAGCCTCTCACTTTGGGTTACTTCATAAACATTTTGGTTATTTCTGTGTGTGCTGTTTTTTCTCTGTGCTCCACTCTCTGGTTTTGAGTGGGTGGGAAAAGAGTGACGTCACATATTTCTATGTCACAGTTTTGTTTGTAAATCAAATCTGATCAAACCACACAGTCCCAATTGAGTATATTAGCTGAGATTTAAACCCTTCATAAATTAAGCATGCTTTCTTTCCTTACTTTACCTTCTTTGAATTTAATGCATCATGCATTTGTAGTCAGGAACATTTATTGTTAAAGGTGGGTTAGGTAATTTTGGAGAAACCAGCTCGAGTGCGCTAGGATTTGAAAATACACAGCCGGAAAAAATCTGCTACTTCCTTACAGAGCCCCTCCTCTAACACACACGAACGCGCACATGACCAATGAGGGCAAGAGATAAGTTTGTGCACAGATGGAAGGCTGACAGGCAGGTAGGCCATCCAGTTTATTTTGATTGGTCGTACTTTTTACAGTACTACGGCTTCCACAGATGACATTTTTTAATGGATTTTTTGTCAAAACACTTAAGATATACATTGCTATCGGGATGTTAAGAGCATTCCATGGAATATAACAAAAAGTGTATTTCGAGCCGGTTTCTCAAACTTACCTACCCCACCTTTAATGAGAATTTTTTTATTAAAATGAAGCTCATCATAGTATGCTGCTAACAGGCCCCGTCACTGTATAGTAACGGTACGTCCACACGGCAGCGTGCGTTGAAGCTTGCCGGTGGGCGTGTCTGGCGTGCGACCAACAACCAATCACATTAATCTCCCGCCCCGGACACACAAGCACGCGGTTTGATTGGCTAGCGCTTGTACTGGCATATGATTTGATTGGCTGACGCTTCCGTCGAAGCTTGAAAAGTTGAACTTTTCTCAACTTTTGAAGTGAGCAACGGAGGCAAAGACCACCCACCCCATAACAATAAGATAGAAACATACAAACAGCCATATACAGTGGGGCAAAAAAGTATTTAGTCAGCCACCAATTGTGCAAGTTCTCCCACTTAAAAAGATGAGAGAGGCCTGTCATTTTCATCCTAGGTATACCTCAACTATGAGACAAAATGAGAAAAAAAAATCCAGAAAATCACATTGTCTGATTTTTAAAGAATTTATTTGCAAATTATGGTGGAAAATAAGTATTCAGTCAATAACAAAAGTCCATCTCAATACTTTGTTATATACCCTTTGTTGGCAATGACAGAGGTCAAACGTTTTCTGTAAGTCTTCTCAAGGTTTTCACACACTGTTGCTGGTATTTTTGGCCCATTCCTCCATGCAGATCTCCTCTAGAGCAGTGATGTTTTGGGGCTGTCGCTGGGCAACACGGACTTTCAACTCCCTCCAAAGATGTTCTATGGGGTTGAGATCTGGAGACTGGCTAGGCCACTCCAGGACCTTGAAATGCTTCTTACGAAGCCACTCCTTCGTTGCCCGGAAGGTGTATTTGGGATCATTGTCATGCTGAAAGACCCAGCCACGTTTCATCTTCAATGCCCTTGCTGATGGAAGGAGGTTGTCACTCAAAATCTCACGATACATGGCCCCATTCATTCTTTCCTTTACACGGATCAGTCGTCCTGGTCCCTTTGCAGAAAAACAGCCCCAAAGCATGATGTTTCCACCCCCATGTTTCACAGTAGGAATGGTGTTCTTTGGATGCAACTCAGCATTCTTTCTCCTCCAAACACGTCTCGTTGAGTTTTTACCAAAAAGTTCTATTTTGGTTTCATCTGACCATATGACATTCTCCCAATCCTCTTCTGGATCATCTAAACGCTCTCTAGCAAACTTCAGACGGGCCCGGACATGTACTGTTTTAAGCAGGGGGACACGTCTGGCACTGCAGGATTTGAGTCCCTGGCGGCGTAGTGTGTTACTGATGGTAGCCTTTGTTACTTTGGTCCCAGCTCTCTGCAGGTCATTGACTAGGTCCCCCCGTGTGGTTCTGGGATTTTTTTTTCCTCCCCCTCTTCTGACAGCCCAGCAGCAGCAGGAGACGTGGGGAGAGGGAGGCGGGGCTATTTCATCATTATCAGAAAATGATCATATAGGGCTTGCACACGGAGCCGTTGGACGCCCAGAGCGTTGCGTATGCCGGTCTACCCACCTTGGGACCCGTTATCGTTACCGTAGTCGTTTAGTGTTTAAGAAGCAGCATTTTACAGCGCGCTATGCATGGGGCCGCCTTGAGGGGGTTTCCCGACATGTCGTTTCAGTAAATTAAAGGGTGTTTCATGTTGTCGTTGCTGTGGACCTTCTTAATACCTTGGAAAATGCCGTTTAATACTTTTTAATAGCTTTAATTTTCGCTAAATTTATTTATCAACTTTTAATACTTTTTAAGACCCCGCAGACACCCTGCATTAATACAGTTAACAAGTGGAGGACAGAGGAGGCTCTTAAAGAAGAAGTTACAGGTCTGTCAGAGCCAGAAATCTTGTTTGTTTGTAGGTGACCAAATACTTATTTTCCACCATAATTTGCAAATACATTCTTTAAAAATCAGACAATGTGATTTTCTGGATTTGTTTTTCTCATTTTGTCTCTCATAGCTGAGGTGTACCTAGGATGAAAATTACAGGCCTCTCATCTTTTTAAGTGGGAATACTTTTTTGCCCCACTGTACATATTTTATACATATCTGTATATTGTATTTTTGTATTGGGATTGTTGGAAACGTAATTTCGATCTCTCTGTCTGTACACACAAACTGAAAGATTGACATTAAAGTTGACTTTGAGTACTGGTGGTTTTTCGATATAAGCATGTCTGGAAAGTCTCCATATCCCTCCATATCCCATAGTGAGATATTGAAACAAATGTTATGATGAGAACTATAGGTTGT